AATAACTATCTGAATCTGAGCAAACTATTGAATATTATCGGACAAAAGGTGAAAAATACGTTGTTGTTAAACTATTTTTCACCACTTTACATTAATACTACATTTATTGGACAAAAACAATAATTTTACTACTGTTCATACAGTCAAATGTTTGTACTTGTTTATTATTGATTCATATTAAAATATTTTTCACTACTCTTGGCAAGTTTTTATCTAGTTTTATTATAAATGACTGGATTGAAGCCTTGATTTTTCAAAGCATGTCTGGTAAATACGTTCGTTCACTTCAAAATACATGTAGATTTCATGAAACATAATGAAAAGAAAAGAAATTTTTCATATTATAATTTGTAATGTTTCTGAGATGTGCTCTTGAATAAAATATACTCAATTTTAAGCAGTGGAAATTATATTCATTGTTTCCTTTTGGTCAGGTTTGAAGTCATGCGTATTATAATGAACTTCAAGTTGATATTCAATTTTTTTCTGCACTTATGGTGAGTGGAAAAACTACTGCGTGTTTCTAATATAAATAGTTTCGTATGTGTAAGATCAATTGTTTTATTCTTGCAAAAAAGAAATCTTTCTATTCAATGTTAAAATATGAAAGATACAGAGAAATGCACTAAAACCAAGGGCAAAAATGTGGCTTCAGTATTTCGAACTATGAGTAAATTGCATGCAGTATCGGGCATCACAGTATGTAATTCGTTCCTTGAAGTACTGAAGTTACGCATTTTCGACTTTGATTAAAACCCACAATGTATAAGACTAGGAAAATAAATGTAATGAATTGGTGAGAACCTCCATCAATACAAAAGTTAAGAATATGTCATAATTCTTAAATATAGGTCGATTGCTAAGAATTATACTCTTTAAATAATTATCTCGATAGTGAAAGTTTTTTTATTATTTTATTATTTTTTAATTTGTAAGAGAAAAAGAAACGCGAATTGGTGATGATATGAATTGTTATTATTTGTTTCGACGTTGATTTTACTCATAGAATTTGTTCGAGAAGTTTTCTTAGCGCTTTGATGTTAATTTATATAATCGCAGAAAGAACTCAATGCTGTTCGATACATTTAGTACTATTTCGTTCTCGTCACTACTAGCATGATTTTAAATGATGTCTTAATTGATGTTAAATTGAAGACGAAAATTGTTTAATTATCGTTTTCTCAATCAACCATCGGCAACATTTAAATCAGATATCTAGCAATTGTAGCAACTTCATATAACTCCCTCTGGTTCTGTTGTGTGCTAATGGTAAAATTTTCGACGACTGAATACTGCCGAACTTAACAGTTTTTCTCAGTTTCTGATAATACTCTCCTTATTTTTTATACAAGGCATAATTGTCTTTAGTTATTTTTTATGTTGAATTCGCCTCTAGACGTATATTCAAAATGAAAAGAACAATTTTTGTATACACTCATAAACAACCATATTGAATTGTATATAATCATATTTTAATGGTTCATTTAGCTTATTAGTATGATCATGTATCTTCGTAATTGTATGCGAAACAATACAATCATATATGGAGAAACATGAAGCGTGACGAAAAAAAATAAGCGAGCGCTTTTGTCTTCGCAAAGCAATGTATTTCATTGTGTATAAGACAAAGGTATTCGATCATGATGTTCATTCATGTAGACCGTTGCATCTATCGTTTACGATTGTTATTGTTTAATATAAGTAGTATGATTGACATAATGTAATTATTGTAAAACTTGCATATGAATGAGTAAAAGTTGTCAAAAATTTAAAATAAATATTTCTCATCGAATATTGAGTATACACATATATTGGTATGCTAGATCATGACAGTTTTATCAATAGTTAACGTTATTTTGAAATAAAATTATAAGACTTCTATCATAAAAATTATTGATGTATTCGAATAATTATCTCACGAGTCTTTTACTAGATTCTGCTCGTTGAGATTAAATTTACATATTGAAGAGAATGTTTGTTTTTTGTTGAATAATTTCAGTTGATACCTGTTCGATTGGCTAAAAATCTTTTCTCTACATGTATTCAGTTTCCAATTGTATTAATTCATACTAAATCGATAATATTGAAGTATAAATTAGAAAATTTGTTTTTTCATGCTTTGATCTAGGTTATCATGTCATAAAGTTAGGATGTTTGGATGATTTCACATAGCGTAAGATTTCTTTTACGAAGTACAATGATGCATATACAGCTTTTACAAATATTAAATAACTTATTTTTAAAAACATTCTATTTTAATAAGAGTATGGTTCTAATGACAATATTTGTTCAGTTCTTTTTTTAAAGAAGTAATGTCGATGCTTATCTTTGACTAAAAGAAAGTTTTTGAATAAAACATTTTTTTAGCTATAAAAATCTTTGAAGAAATAAAAAGGTAAGTTTATTATATTAATTAGTTCTATGACGTTAGAGATTTACAGCTGCATGTTTACTTTCTTCTCATGAATTCATTAGTTCAAGTTGAACCTTTACAAATTAACAAACAAAAAATATCTAGCTAGATTTCATTTGTATTCGATCTGTTAAAATTCTGTTTAATTTTGAATGAAGAACAAAATATGTCAAGCGAAACAATAAGACTAAACAATATTCATGAGAGTTGTTAATATTATGTCAATGTGTGTTTGACTTTTTGTAATAACATAAACCGCATACAAAAGAATCATGGCGAAATAACTAAGCGATTATGTGACAAATAAGTGAATATATATGATAATCGAAAGAAAACACAATAAAATATTTCATAGAGAAAAACATTCATATCCAATGAGTATACACGTATTAGATATACGCACATTAGAAATTGAGAAAACTGATGAACATAGTATGAAAACATACCAGGAAAAACCCCCGAATATGACACATTATAATATTTTCTAAGAAAACCTGAATAAATAGAACAACAACAGCCGCACCTAATAAATATAAAAACCATAACATTGTTAGAACAGAAAGCTCTTCATAATTTTTATGAACATGCAACTCATTATATATGCTAGACAATAAAATGATCAAATCAAATAAAAAAATGTGAACCAATAGATATAGGTTTTTATGAAGCACAAAAGATCAAAATGAGATACTAACAATTTCGTAAAGACATTTCTTTTCACTAGATAAAATATAGTTAAACTGTGAGCTAGCACTTTGCTTTAGGTTGCTATAAAAAATAATGTTTATGGTTGGTGTGCTTTTAGTTGTATAAAGGATGTCACTTGAGAAGATCATAAATTTGTCACCACTTTGAACTTCACTTTCCATAAGTTATAAAAGTACAACATGAAATTTATTACATTCCTGAGTATTTTTTTTTATTGAACGTAAAAATTCTTTTGGGGACTAAATAATGGGTGGAAAAAGATCGAAAGAAAAAATGTCGAAAATAGAGGCACTACTCTCCACATCACTCATTTTTTTTGTGCATCACTTATATGTATTGTGGCTTCTGTATTTTCGACATTTGTCCTTTCCATGTTTTTCTTTTCGATCTTTTCCCATCATGCCGTTTTAGGAATGTCTATCACTTTTCGATGTTTCGGACAATAACTACAGTAACTATAAGTTTTTTGTCACCTCAATATAAAACTGTATAGTGTAAATCGAGGTGGTTTTTCATGTTCTACATAGTGACATCATAGTCTTTTCCATGGATTACTTTATATAATCAAACAAGTACGAGAGGTGCGATTCTTATATTCTATAGAGGAATTTCGATACTTTGGTAAGATACCATTGTATTTAAATACTAAATTAGTACTGAAGATCTTTGTAACCAAAAAACTGTAACATCTCACGTTCTATAAATCTACATATTTTTTAAGAGAAATTGATTCTGTCCTAACACTCATGTTTATTGAAACTTCGTCTTTGAAAGCACTATAAACGCCGATGTCAACCATTGTCTTATTAAATCTTGATCTAATTTCAATTTCAAAGCAAAACAAATATCATATTCAGAAGAAGCACAAAAAGGAAACACATTATATCATATACATTTCAGCAAAACTTATTTTTTATGTAAAAAATCGATATAGTCCTCTAGGATAGATTTTTTTTCAGTATGTTCGGCTATGCACTCGGGATGCATTAGTCTTGAAAACTTATTTTTGCTAAAATGTATATGATATAGAGTATATTTTTATGCTGATTTATATATGAATAATTTAGTATTTAAATACAATGGGATTCTATAAAAATGTGAAAATTCATCTATGTTATATAAGAAACGTATCTATTGTACCTGATTGACTCTACAAACACATCGATAAACATGATTATTATGTCATTATGTGGAACATGAAAAATGACCTTGATTTACACTATAATTCTTTGCATTCAAGTTACAATAAAAAAAATTATGGTTATTATAATAAATACATAGGAATATGATAAATTTCATGGTTAATCTTTCTAGGCTATTGAAAGTAGAACTGACAGTAGCAATAGATTTACAATCTTATCCGACGGTATCCTTTAACGACAATAAATAGCTGGCTTAACACAACGCTATTTCATTATTTCAAGGTAAATATCCTCATAAATGCATCAATTTAATATATGTAGGTTTAAATGTAAAGCAAAAATCTTGCGAATAAACAAGCTTCAAAACAAATGCACGGAAAACTTCCATAGAATACCTTTCAACCAATCATCATCAAGCAGTACAATCGTTTAGAAAATTTCCTTGATAATTATTGATAATTATTTTAATTTTTCAAATAAAAATTCTTAACAATTTTGTTTGTCATTAAAAGAAAAATATATGTTTTAATGAATCAATCTTCACAAATCAGAGCATGTGTGTGTGTGTGTATGTGGGAAAGGTTGAAGGAAGAAGAGAAAAAATAAATTTTAACCTATTCATATGCGTGTGTAAAATACTTCTCACGCAACAGTGAACACAGTATACAGCATTTATTTTCGATTATAATACTCTTTTTGTTTAGATTTATTTGATTCTCTTTATTCCTATCGCAATTATGGGAAAACATCCTGAAAACTCGATTGATCAAGAAGAGGAAGAAGAATTAGATGAAACAGAATTTATCGTCGAAAAAATTCTTGATCGAAAAGTTGTTAATGGTGAAGTGTATTATTTTCTAAAATGGAAAGGTTTCGATGAATCTGAAAATACATGGGTAAGAAAAGCAAATATTTCTAATAGAAAGAAAAAAAAATTATTTTTTCATTTTTGATTTAATACAGGAACCTGAAATGAATCTTGATTGTCCAGAATTAATTGCTGATTTTCATAAACGATCAAATACTCAACCAAAGAAACCATCAAATGAAACAACTATTGAAAATAATACAACAACAACAACAACAACAAATAACAATAATAATATAAATAATAATATTACTTTAAATAAACGAAGATCCCGAGATAGTACTGATCAAGAGCCTTCGGATGCCACGAAAAAAAACAAACGTACAAATGATTTTGGTTATGGACGTGGACTTGAAATTGAAAAAATTCTTGGAGCCACTGATGTCTATGGTGAACTAATGTTTCTGTAAGAATGACAAACAATAAATTTTCTTTTTATTTCAAAAAACTCTTTTGTTCTTTTTTAATTAGAATTAAATGGCAATCCACGGAAAAACCCGAACTAGTACCGGCTCGAATTGGTATGAATTTAATTGTAAAAAATTGAATTCTTAATAAAAGTTCGCTTATCCTTTTTAGCTAATATTAAAAGTCCTCAACATGTCATTCGTTTTTATGAAGATCGTTTAACATGGGCTAATACAGATGAAAATACATCAATTAATCCAGAAAAACAGTAAAACTTTCTTACTGTTTTGTTTGCAATGGGTTGTTTTCTTTTCTTTTTTTCTATTCTTAAAATTGCGATCTTTGTGATATGAACACTAAGTTGCTTTTTCTTTTTTTTCGAAGTATATATATGTATTGTATCACTCGTTTATCTGTATGATTTAAATATCATTTCTTTTATGATGTATTTGTTTTCTTTTTGGAGCACACACTGAAGACGGAGAAAGGCACAGAAAATTTTCGAGTATATATATATATGTTTTATGGTTCTTTACTACTTGCCATTCTCATTCATTCCACTGATCGGTGTTTATGTGTAACGCTTGATTATGATTGGTTTGAGATTGCTACTGTAAAGAATAACATCGTGAGTGTTTTATGATTATTCATTGTTTCTGTTTTTCTTTCTTGTGTTTTGTAATAAAAATAAATATATGAACATTTGATGAGAAAAATTATTGAAAAAATAATAATAGATGCGTACAGATAAATTTAATTAGAACTGTATATTTCATATATTTAGTTGCAGCAATTAGATGAAAATAGAAATCAAATCTTGTCATAGAAAAGTTTTTCTGTTCCGAGAAAAAGACACCGGAAACCAAGATAAATTGAAGGAGTAGTTCCGAACTGGATAGTCTCCGGGTTCTTTTTTTTTGTATGACTTTTAAACAAGTTCTTCTTTTTTCAGGCGAGAAACGAAGAAATTCAGAGATTGTCTAACTGAGAATATCTCCTGAAAGTTTCATAGATTTCTGGCGTTTTCCTATTGAATACAGTGGCTTCCCGGTCAGTTCCAAAGAAATTCACTTGTTTTCGAAGTCCGTAATCGTCGACAAGTATTAAAAAGAACATTGTGCTAGAGAACATATTCTAGACACGCGAATCGACGAAATATTCTTTCTCCTATTTCCAGTTGTTCTCTATTTTAAAAAATTTTGAATGCACGTAAAATTTCGAATAAGTTGACTCGAACAAAGTGTTAGAGACGAAGAATAATATCATCATTTTCTTTGCTCTAATTGCTATTTGTGATCATAGATGAAATAGTGTGACGTCGATGGTTTTTAATTAAAAAAATCAAGTATAGTCCTGATTAATGATTGAATATTGTCTAGTTTATAGATATGAAAAACCTTCTTGTTAATAATAAATATTCAAGTTTTAAATCATTACTTTTTTTTTCATTGGCGTTAGATTATGAATGAGAACATTTGTTTTGTTATTTTGTTTAAACTTATAATCAAGATTCAGCCCTTTTTTTTTTTTTGATCGGTCAACTCAGATCATATCAATAATGTCCTTATACGAGAGACAGTTGATAAATAGTAGTCACGTTCAATCAGTAAAAAGAAAAAGTTAGAAGAAAAGAAGACCACTTAATAGTTTTCGTTATGTAAACATGAAGCTGTTGAATATATCTCAAGAGAAGCAATATTCGACCCGATGAATATGATTTGAATTACATCATCTAGTTCTGTAAACAGCATAGTAACAGTAGGACAGTTTCTATCCACATTTTCGAAGATGTGAACTAATAGTTCAACAAAACTAATGAGCTTCTCGTGACAACGAACTATGAATTAAAACTACATTATTAGAATTTATTGAAGTATCATTTATATTCTATATAATGAATATTGAACTGCAATGGAAAGATTTTATAAAAAAAAAAGAAAAGAATATTCAATAGTAACGTTATTAATCAGTTTAATAGAAAAAAGAATTATCAGATGGCCAGGTGATTTCTAGAGTATTTCAGAGATTAGTGTGTTTGAGAAAAAAACATGTTGCTTGAGATTTAGATTGATTAGTTCGAATATATGTTTCAGACAACGGTTTATTTTGCTTCAATCTGAATTTTGAAAAAGGAAAAGATACTTAGTTTTAAACTGCAATATGGGACTTACAGGTCTATAGAATTTATAACATATTATATATCCTATAAAAATAGAGCATGCATAAGATGTATAACATCATTTATATTTTTGAGTGAGAACATGTTGTTAGAATATGTATCAAAATTTATTGATCTACTTCTTCATTTTACAAGATTGTGCTAGTGTAGACAATAGCTACATTTATGTTACGAACATTAATTAATTGATCGCTTGGCATGATACTATTCCAGATTTGTCTAATCAGTTCTACTATTTTTCAATATCTGTTAAAAAATTCTGAACATATACAATGAATATTTAACAATACTTATCTGTCATGATTCTAAAATGCTTTTAAACCTATAAAAACACTGAAGTAATCATTACGCATCTCTATGTCTCATTCAATTCTAATTGTGTATAATCCATTCGTTTTTTTGTTGTTGTTGTTGTCCATGGATATTTCTCTGTTTCTTCTACAATATCTTTTTCGGTCTAATGATAACTTGTCAAATCAATTCAAAACAAGTAAAATGCACTTTATCATTATTAATCGATAGGTCATCGCCGTGCTCAGACAACCGCTAGACCTCGACATATACGTGACAAAAGAAAGAATACTCATGCTTGTACATATACGATGAAGTGCTTCTTGAAAAGAGCTCTCATCAAACTATACTAAGTACACTTATCAATTTAATGAAAAAAAAATTTGAGACTACGCCCCATGCTGTTTCTTTTTCAACCGAATAAAAATATTCATCATTATTTCTACACTTTTAATCCAACATTTTTTTAAGAAAAACAACATCATGTTTTATTTTTATTGTAACAACTTGTTACAAGTTTATTTTCCTATGCTATTCGAATTATTTTTCTTTTTTCTTTTTGTTAATAAAGTTTGTCTGTCTTCTATATGAAATACAGAAGAAAAAAAAAAATTTTTTTTTTTGTTTTAAACATAGTATTGAATAGAAAAAAAAAGTAAAGGCAGAAGAACAACAATCAACAGTTTTCTGATACATATTACGCACACTACTGCCGCCGCTGTCGCTGCTGCAAATAACGAAAATTTGACGTTCATGTTTTAAGGTTTTTTATCTGACTCGTACAAACGCGCACACATACAATTAGTAATAATAACAATAAGAAATAAAGAATGAAATCAACATGAGACAAAAAAAAAGAAAAACATAAGCTCAAGGGATGAACATATTCATTCAATTGAATTGAATTATAGAGAAAAGAAGAGAGGAAAAAAATTACAAACCGCGTAAGTACAAGCCACGAAAAAAGAAAAAAAAATAATTTGCACTAGATGAGAGAGAACATTAGAGCAACTATGTGTCTATTTATTGCATTTTTAATGAAGTCGATTTTGATTGCTTTTAGCAGCCAATATTCGATCAATCATACTTTTAGCATATTTTATACGTGTAAACAATTGTTTTGAACAACCACATTGTTCTAATGCTTGTAAACGATATGTACGAATTTCACGATGTTCATTAATATATGTAACAGCACTCATTAATGGACATAATATAACTTTAGTATGATCTTGAAAGAAGTTAATCTAAATGAAACAATGAAAATAGAAAGAATTTGACTTTTCTATTATGATTAATATCAAACCTGTAATGTTCCGTTGGATAGATAGAAAACAATAGCATTACGTGTACGAAACCATGATTTAACAAATGGAAGTCGAGAAAGTTCATCACCAGGTCTTGGAGCATGTGCAGCACCGGCCTAAAAATTTTCAATTCTGTGTTTTTTTTTCTTGTAAAATTTCTTATAAATCTTACTTTAAGTAAATGTTCATCCATATATGAAGTAAAATACTATTTAAAAAAAAAAAGAAAAGCAAAAAGATCTTTTTTGTTTGTTTTGTTTTTTATTAAATATAAATTTTACTTTGAGTAAAGTAACTTTCTTTTTTAATTGATCAGAATAATCTTTCATTGTACATAAATGTTCAAAACCTTCTCGATCAATATATTGAAGATTTTCAGCACCACCAGCTGTCATTATTAAACGTGTTGAATCATTAAATAAAACTCCAACTGAATCATCACATAGTTGATAACCTAAACCATATTTATCGGAATAATCAACCCATTTTGATATCCATAACATAGGTGCTGATGCTGGATCTTCAGCTTCATCTTCACGTTTATCAAGTTTTTCGTTTGGTTTCATTTGTATTAAATGTTCTAATTGTCTTTGAAGATCAATAGCTAAATGTAAATCATCATTTATTTCTTCATTTGTTGCACCAGCTGGAATAAATCCACCACCATCAAGACCAGTTAATTGCCGTGCCATTTGTGATGACAATACAATATCTGTTTGATTAGGTCCATTTGTTGATATTGGTCGTCCAACACCATGTACATCATTTGGACGTTCAGTCATTAATATTGGTGTTGGTAATGTTGCAAGTTGTTGATGACGTGATGCTATTAATGCCTGTTCATTTTGTTGTTGTTCAGTAAATGGACGACGCTGTTGTTGTTGTTGTTGTGGTATTGATCCTGTCACAACACATTGTGTTGCTGTTTTACCAGCATTAATTATACTTTGTTGTTGTGCTTGATTTAATGGTACCATAACGGAATAACGTGGTGCAACTGTACAAACCGATGTTGGTAATGTTGCTGGTGTAAAACCAGTAAAAAATGTATCCATATAGATTTGTTGCATTGTTGGACGATCGTATGGTTCATGTCTTAAACAACGTTGAATAAGAAGAACAACTTCACGGCTTATACGATTTTCTGGTATTAAATAATCATTTTTGCGGATTTTTGAATATGTATCTTTTAATGATGATGTTTCAAATGGTGGTTTACCAAGTAATAATGTATAAAAAATACAACCTAAACTCCATACATCAACTTCATAACTATGACCTACAAGAGAAAAAACATACATATTTATTTTAATTCTTATTTTAAATTTATGCTTTAACCTTTTTTATTGATAACTTCAGGTGCAACTGTGAAAAAATAAAAACAAAAAATTTTTAATAAAAAAATGAATTTATCGAAACATACTATAGTTTGGAGTGCCACAAAGTGTTCTAAAATAAACAAGAAATACATTTGTTTAGTATTGACATTTAATTATAGTGAATATAAAAGTTTTGGAAAGTTTTTCCTATCAAATGATAATACAATAAGTAGATATCATCTATGATTCTTACTGTCCCACTATTCGAAATAGGATTGCTGATTCAACCAGAAAAGTTTTCGAAACCTCTTCAATATTAAACAAGAATCAGAAAGTTCACGTAGAGATCTAATCATATAATAGTCGTATATATATGTATATAAACTATAGTCGTTTGTCTAACAATGAACATTAATATGAAAGTTTGTTAATTTAAAAAAATTGATTATCCTTTCATGTCGAGATCCGTATATATACGACCTAAGCTCTTAAAACTTCGGCATGAAAAGGTTAAGAATTATTTTAGATATTATACAAATCAATTCTGCTATACTTTCCTCTAGACCAGGTTTGGGACTAAAACAATTCAGTCATAACAATCTCTAATCAACAGAACTCATTATTAACGAGTACGCTATAAACTATAGCACCATCCATATTTGTCTTTTGTTCAAGTTGTATTGAATTAAAGTTTTTCATCAAGAGGTGCTACGTTGAATTGTCTACGAAATGATATCGGTCAATTATTTGAATAAATTCACGGCAAGTATTATTCGTATCTAAACTGGAAATATCTCCGTGTAATGTTTCAAATATTCTATGAATAAAAAAATGCTGTAGAGAATATTTCGCATACAATGATTTCGACAAAATGCTAGATAATTGTTTTAGCTCACTTCAACGTTTACATCAAGTATTAAAAATTAAGCACGATAATACTCATTCATTGACAAATAGTTTTTTCCAGATAACTCAACAGAGAATCTTTCGATAAAATATTTAACCCAATAGGACTTTGAACAAATAAAGCAGCCAAGAAAATATGAATAATCCTATTATTTATGACGCACCCATTGTTTATCTCAGTATAATCATGATACTTCAAGCACATTCACACAAAGGATTTCGCGATTGTTTTTGAGGGTGAACGATATTCAAAATCGAACGAAAGATGCTGAAATCACTGGCTTTCTGTTATATTTTCTCTGTATGGGTGACTCAAGCGATGGGAGTTGATACGGTATCCCACCTCATCTTGAAGTTTTCTTTTTTCTTCAGTGAATTTCCCGTGCATTGGTTTTCGTTGCTTCCCAATGCCTGAAATTTGGTCAACATCAGAAAAAAATCTTCTAATCGGCAGCTTGAGTCAACGACTTCCCAATTCTAGCGATCTCTGTATGTTTGAAAGAAAGCATCTTCGAATGAAGATCTGTCTGAAGCAGAGCTAAAGCCACTGAAGTTTCCTTTCTTCTCCGGTTTGCTATAAGACTGTAGAAAGTTTTGCAGAAAGGTCGACATTTTCAGGAAGAAAAAGTTCCCGTCGTCCTGTCTCTAATCTATAACCCTGCTAACACATCATATTAACAAAACAGGAATAATAGACGAAATTATGACTATGTTACAGTAAAAAATATATTTCGCATATGTAATAGTTACACATTGTTTTAGTAATTCTATCAAATTAGTTATACTAACAAAATCGTCAAAGGGCAAAATTTGAATAACTATGCGCCTACTGCTTCATTCAGATTTTCTCTTCCAGAGAAGCAATACGAAACTTCATAAGAATGTGAGCACCTATATTCGGGAGCACAGAGACATAATATGTGATACTATTACCACAAACTTCGAAAGGATCAATTCTATCTTTGAAAGGGCGTCAATTAGATACGTGCGGGAGTTAATGTTTTTGGTTTCAGTAACTTCCTTTTAAGCAGTCTCGATCGTAGTCATGGCGAATCTAGTATGTTCCTGGTCCCACACTTGTCTACTCAGGTTTAACCATTACTAAAAAGAAAACGCAATTGACAACTGAAAATTAGATCAAATCAGATAGCAACACCAGAATAGACAACTTCTCCATGATTTATGCTAAGTAAACATGTATTATCAAAGAATTTATCACAATCATATTTACAAATGTAAAAAAGACGATGATGAAACTGTTTATTTTTTTATGCAGGCGTGTATATAATTCCGATATGTTTATTCATTAAGATTTAATATTTACAGATTGTATTTATATCGTCTTCTTTATCATGCGATGTGCGGAAAACTTAACTTGAAAAGTTAGAGTTAAGGATATCATAGTCTCATATTTGGGCTTTGACTCTGCATATATCTAGTGCCGATCCTTCGACTTCCACGTTGCATGAGCCTCATACAATAGATATTGAATTGAATATAATAATAAATTTCTGTATTTACCTTTTACGATCACTTTCACTTTCAACTCGTGTTGCTAAACCAAAATCTCCAATTTTAATTTCCATTTGATCATTAAGAAACAAATTGCCCAATTTAAGATCTCGATGAATAATACGTTTTTCATGTAAATAAATACATGCTTCAACAATTTGTTTAACAAAATAACGTGTTTCAGGTTCAGTAACTGTTTTACGTCGACGATGTAATTCCATCAATGACTAAAAACAAAATCGAACAAACTTTTAATGATACCAAAAAACAAAGCGAAATCTTTTACTCGTCGTCTACACAGTTCAAGGATAATATAAACATTATTTTCATCTTCAAAATATGAAAAAAACTGCACAATATGTTTATGATTAAGTGATTGATGAATGGTCACTTCTTGTTGCATCTAAATCAAAATAAATAATTCAATAAATATAATATTGTTTATTATAATTCATACTTTCTCTTTCTGATGAGGTTTAACGAGCATTGATTTCGGTACAACTTTTCCAGCAAATGTTTGACCAGTATTCGTATCAATTAATTCATAGCATCGAGCAAAGCCACCCTTGAATAAAAAAAAAAGCAAAAAAAGAGTCCCAAATATATTTATAAATCGAAATTATTTTAAACAAAAACTCTAACTAACTTTGCCAAGAAATTTTCCTTTCGAATATTGTGTACGTGTTCGTGGATCGATAATAATATTTGGAATATTAAATTCATCCTTAGTTGTATCCATACTTTTCTTCTCAATAAATTTTACTATATAATATAATATTCAAGTGTTTATGTAAATGTTTAGAGTTGTTATTGTTATTGCTCGTGAAAGAGAAGCAGTATGATCATCTAAAAATGGTAATACATAACTGTACGTATAGTATGTCTTTTAGACGTGCAATGATTATTTTCGTCGGCAAGAAAGATAAACATTAACAGAAATAAAGATTTAACAACGAATAGTTATATACGATATGATATGCACTTCTAAGCCGTTCGACTGTAGATTTTTCTTTTTTCTTCTATCATAGTATTATTATAACAACGTGTCTCTTCATTCTGTTTTGTGCCTACTTTTATTTTTCGTTTTCGACCTCGATATGAGAATAAGAACCTCATATGATATGACTCTTTTTTTTAAATTTTGTAAACAAGTCTTTGTTTGCTTGAACACCAATGAACCATCATTTTAGAATTTATTGTTTTAAATCTATTGAGTGTCGCTATTTGCATTGAATATGAGAAAAGAAATTGAATAACAACAAAGACACAAAATGATTTATTTGGTTTTCAATTTGATAAATGAAAACAAAAAAAATTAAAAACAAGGCGTTCACATATATAAGAAAAATTCAGTATATAATTATTATAATTCTTCAATCAATTTTCGTGTTGTTGTTGGTTGTTTTTTAGATTCGATTGATGCTTCTTTGACATTATCTAAGAAAGAAAAGATAAAAAATTTTGTTTTTGTCAAGAATCGATGAAAATTTATTAGGATGCAGTAGATCTATATCATTAAGAAGGAAAAAAAACACTTACCCATTTGTGTCGGATCTTCATCAATATCATCCATATCAACAATTTTCAATCTTACTGATTTTTCAGCTGTATCACTATTTACTTCTATAAGAATAAAATAAATATAAATAAGCTTGAATAATAACTAAAATTAATGTACTTTGTGATCCTCCGAATATAGTATCAAATGATGAACGACTCACAATGTTCTGTAATGGTGGTCGAATAAATGGAATATCTAATAAATAAAAATTTTAAGACAAAAAATTAGATTCCATATGATTTTTGTCTACCAATATCATCTTGTTTTGGTTCTTCAATTGGTACAGTGTCTGTAACTGTTTCAATTATTTCATTTTCTTTTTCTACATCGGATTCATCAATATCTTCAAGTGGTGGTGGTTCATCTTCATTATTTATTTGTTCTTGTTCCTTATTTTCATTTTCTTCATTATCAGTTTCTTTTTCTCCAGTTAATTCATTTTCTTCATTATCAGTTTCTTTTTCTCCAGTTAATTCATTTTCAGTTTGTTCTATATCATTTTGATTTTCACCAAGATCACCCAAATAATTACGACGCATAAGCAATAAATCTACAAATATATATATATTTTTTTCTATTTTAATCAATAAATAATATTTAATTACCATTAACGATAGGTTTTGTACTACGTTTTCGTTCTGGTGTTTCCCATAATTGACGTTCTTCACGTTCAGCTTCTCGTCCACCACGAGCCCTATATGAAAATCAAATCAAAATAACTATACAAAAGCTACTAGTAAATTTTACCATGCATTTGCACATGCTCGATCTCTTGGAAATACTGGTCGATCATCAAGATAAGTTAAATTAACCTACAGAATAATTCACAAAACCAAAATCAAAAATATTATTTTATTTAAAAATAACTTACACATCCAAGTGTCATTGTTCGTCGATAATCTTTAACATTTTTTAATAATGGATTACCCATAAGATTGATTACACGCTAAATAAAGAAATGAAATATATGTGTTCTAGTCTAAATTAGAAATTCAATTTTTTGACGAACAGAAAAAAGTAACAGAAAACAAACAGTTAAAGTAGCAACAAATTCTTTTTACTTTACAAAATTTATTAACAGATATTATACAGCAATGTTGGTAGGTAGGAACTACGCGTCGACATTTTTGCCGGCCCAGGTTCAAGTTTTTTTTTACCAATATCTGGCACCTTTTGTGTACATAAACAAGTGAAAAATTAAAGTATTAGCTATGTATTGGCTACTCTCATTTGCTGTTGTCCACTTTTTCATCACTCAATACTTAATAAACTGAAGATTTTGGCTTAGTTGACAAGGACATTATGTTAATAAAAAAAGAAATTGAATAGTTAATTGATAAATAAAATCCGTCAAAGCAACAGTAACACTGAATTCTTCAGTATTAAGAAATAGTGTTAGTTGTATTTATGAAAACGAGATCAATCAAAAATATCTTCTATGTAATCAATGTAAAGAACTACGAGTTCATATTTTTGGAGATCCTCGCTTGGATTCAGTCAGGCTTGAGTCTGGAAGGAACCATAGCTCCCTATTGGTAATGTGGATTGGAGCCCGTTGAATCCAAAATTTTCAGATTCAAATCCGGTGAAAGTATACTTCGATAGTTTTAATGAAATTTTCTAATCGAAATAGGATAATTGTCCCAAAGATACAAGATACTTTTTTCCAATCTTTTGTATTTGGTGACTATTGCGTCATACACATTTTTCAGACGACTAGAGTTCATTGAGTCCAAAAGTATCAGACCCGGTCGCAACGGGACCCGAAACCAAACTGATGGACTGTACTCTGAATGGAATAGAGAATCGGCCTTCACTCACATTCAAAACCAAACGGCCACACACAAGACACAACCCACACCAATTGTTATCAAGATTTTATCTTTTCCTATTCATCAGAAAACATTTCTATTCTAACTGCACAAGTTTGAAATTCGACTAAATTTCCGTATGCACCGAAACATATATATATATATAACTTTATAAAAATAACTTACTATACTTTCCATTTGACTAAAAACTTCGACAGTATCAGGATCTTCAATTAAATTATGTGATAAATCCACAACACTTAAACTTTTACATTCTTTTAAATGTTCAATATCTTCAACTGTTTCAAGTTTATTATGTGATAAATAAAGTGAATTTAATTTTGGTAAAGCCGCTATAAATGAAAAACAAAATATTAAAATTCAAACAAATTTATGTATGTTTTTATTTTAACTTACATAAATTTTCAATTTTAGTTATATAATTATTTGATAAATTAATTGTATCTAAATATTGTAAATGATCTAAATTTTCAATTTTACTTATTAAATTTTGATGTAAATAAAGACAACGTAATTCTAATTGTTGATCAAGATTTTCAATACGTTGTATACCATTTGATTCAAGCCAAATACATTTTAACCCAACATATTCTTCTAAATTTTCAATACGACCAAAGCCTTTAAAATGTAAATAAAGAACATCATTTAAGTATGGTGTTTGATATAATTTATGTTCTTTGCAATGTTTTTTAATAAATTCTTTTGTCATTCGAGGATAACGTAAATCATCTTTTTTTTGTTGTTCTTCAGTTTTGTTCGATAAAGATGGTATTAATTGTGCTGGAACAAGCATTTTATCAATAGTGGATTCAATTATTGTTTCGGTTAGCATTTGTAATGAAAATGATGAACCAGAATATGTTTGAAGAAAATGAATCGAGATTTTTGGAGAATAGTTGCCATTATAATTAAGGATTATGTTTGGTAACTAAGGAAAAAGTATTGAGAATATTGTTCCAATTCTTTTTAATTTATTTTAATTTATAAAATTTTTTTATTTTATTCTATTTTAAAGAAGTATATTTTTCTTGTTACAAAAATTGATTTAAGATTTTGAGATAGAGAGCGCTAAATTTTTTTTGTCAAGGTTTTTAAATGGATAAATTAAAAAACCAATCCAATTCCTTTTCATTTAAATGAAAGCAAAATCGACGGATTATGAGTAATTTTTCTTAAATAATTAATATTATTAAAAAGAAAATATACAATTTTATTATTGAATGATAATGCTGATCTTAATCAATTGTTGTAATAGCAAAAGACAATATCATAATATTTAATTCAAAAATATGAGAAGAAAGTTATTACTTATCAGAGAATACTTTCTCTATGTATTTATTGGAGTGAAAGAAAATAATCAAAGCTATTACTTTGTTTATTCAATTTAATGAGAAATTACTTTATTTAGTTTTGTAATGAACAGATATTTAGTTATCATTTCGTTCTTGGATTATATTCAACATCGATGACAAACAATTTACAAAATTTTATTTTTTTCAGGTGAGTTTAAAAATTTTTAAAACGAAGTTATCATAAAATTGATAGTATTATAGATTTTTCTCGTTACTTGAAGGTCTTTTCCTCCCTGGAAATTCAAACTTGTGTCAGATTCATTGAAATCGCATGAAATTCTCAGCTCTATACTGTGACGTTTTCAGGAGATATTCATCAAACAAAGGTCAAATTAACTCACTTGACAACTCAAAGTTCTCTGTGGACTACCATTTTATTTTTTTTTTGAAATTGTTAAGAACATAAACAGAGAAAAAGATAAAAACGACTTTCCGTTTCTACGGAAACAGACTTTTTTCAAGCGGAAGAATACAGAAATCGTCATTGTTTCTAATAGATTCGATCTTAAACTCTTCTCTCAGGAATTTATCGTAATTTCGGGTAATCAAACGAAAGTAGACTTTTGAAGGAGTGCAGAGCTTTAATTGCATCGATTTTTGAATAGTGATGTTTATTATGTACAATTTTGACGCGATTTTTCAGAGGTTAATTAATATTAAAAAAAGGCAATCAGATAAACTATGATTCTTTTATATATCCGACTTTCGCTCACTAGGAAAGTCTTCAACCGATAAACTACTATTGAGTTCACACTATATACATTATGTAGACCCAAATAAGTTTCCAAATATCTTGAAGAGAGTTCGGGTTCTTAGCTTATTGTTGCGTAGCTATTGTAAATTAAGTGATTTTCGAGTTTCGATGTCAAACTTTGTACAAATGTAGATGTTAACAAGAATAGTTAATTGTCAAACCTTCAGTTCTATTGATTTGCTTCTATCCTGAAACAAGAACATCAAATGTACCGTAATAATATGACAGATGTAAAAGACACGCTTTTATCATTGCTATGTTTTAGGATAGGAACAATGACAAGAACTGAACTCATTAATAATTGTATCTGTACAAAGTTGCAAGTCGAAATTCGAAAATCAGTTTTTCTGCTATCCCAGCATTTATTTAAAAACTATAATAGAAGTGCAATATCTCAGTAGCAATAAGCTAAAGGTCTAAACTATTTGCAGGGTATTCATTTTTCATTTGGTTTTACATAGTGTACATAATCTCGACTCGAAAACAATTTATCAATTCGGAAGCTTTTCTCGTCAGATAAAACTTTGATTAAATCTAACCGTGCTGATTCTGCTTGATGTTATTCTTAACAAAAAAAGAAAGAACTGATAATTTAGTTCCTTCGCATGCTCTATAATATCTACTGGATCTAAAACGACTTCTTATTATTAATTTCAGTCATGTAAGAATTTAGAATACATGCTATACAATTTAAAGCTTGACAAACAACTAACATCTGAATTTATATCCTATTCTCCTTTATAGTCTTTTGTTTTAATTTTATCTTTCTTAAGAAGAATCCTGTTAGTATATGAAGCATTAAGGTTATAAAAGCTGATTTTTTTTAATTAAAACGTAAAGATAATCATCTTAACAGATTTAACAATATGTTTTTTCTCATTTTATATTGATATTTCGCATAATCATGTACAAAACAAAAACTAAATTCATCTAATATTTGCATGAAGAATTCGTGTCTAAATTTCGAAATGATATATTCCAGACGACAATATTAGTTTTCAATGTATACAAAAAGTACTGACTGAATTCTACACTCTTCGTTGAACTAGGTCATTCTTTTTTTTTTCTATTTTTCTTCTTTTGTTCTATTAATCTGTCCGCAAGAGAAGTTAGGGAAGAGACAATGAAAAATTGTGGTCATTATTCTTGATATATAGAACAAAAAAAAAGGAGGAGGGAAAGAGAAAAAGAAATTAGAGCAAGTTTTTGTTCTAGCCTCAACTTTGCTCCTTTTTCTCTTGATGATGTATGTGTATGTGCATGTATTTGTATGTGATGTTATATCCATTCATTGATCGTGCGCAAGTATACAACATATACGACTGAACTGTTACGCGAAAAGGAATGAGAAAGAAAGAGAGGAGACTGCTTGTACTCGTTCTCTTTTCCTTTGCGTATGTATATATTTGAGCAGCTCCAAGGCCATTTTGACGTGAACAACGAACGACGAGTAAAAATGAACGGGCAAAGAACGACAGAAAGAAGAAGAAGGAAAAAAAAGAAAAGGTAATATGAACGAGTAAAGAACTCTTGCACATACACATCGATCGGGCACACACTGTTCTGACTATTGTTGATCATTGGGCATCATCTCAAGAACAGAACACACGTATACATTCACCGAGATAATCACTACTACATTTGTCACTTTTATAAAATGATAACGTTGATCGGCTAATCGTGTCCATATGTTAGCAAAATTATATTTTATTTATATAAGAACTATTTTTGAATAAATAAATGAATGAAACGTATGGGCCAAGTGACCTTGCATCAACGGCCAGGCCGTTGGTGAGTTCATTTTTATTAGTTTTGGCACGTACTCATACCCTCGAAATGGAAATAAGGAAATAAAAAAAAAAAAAGAAACGAGAGTTAATAATAGTAATATTATTCATCTAGTTTTTGTTTTTTTATTTTTGACATTACATCTACTATGGAATCGATAGAACAGGTGATTAAAAATTTGATTTTTTCTTCTTGTTATTTTTTGTTATTGTCAGATATTACATTTTGTTTTTGATTTTTTCTAAAAGGTTTCATCAAATCCTAAACGAAAACTTGGTAATGTTGATGATGGTGAACATTTTTATTCATTTGATATTGAACATGAACAATCAACAAAATCATTTTGTTGTCATTCACCAACATTAACAGTTAATTCTAATAATACTACTACTACTACTACTAATAATAATAATAATACATTAACAAATTATCAACAAACAACAAAAATAATTCAAGAATTTAATATACAACAATTAACAACAAGTGATATAACAGTTAGTTCAACAATAAATATAAAATCAACACCAAAACAACAAATGAAAATATCAAATAATGATTTATTAAGTGAAGCTGATTTTCAACGTGTTGTACAAGATATAACACCAGCTGATCGTGATCTATTTGATGAATTTCTTAATAGTATAAAACAAAAAACTGATGATTATTTATTTTTATCCTCATTTGATGATTTACCATCATCATCACAAGAACAAGATACGACTTCAAAACGACATTTATCGTCATCATTACCATCACAAACACCTTCAATAATACCAACAGATCGACGTAGAAATTCAATTCCACGTGGTTCAAGTACCATACATTATAGTCCACATTCAATGCCTGTTACAAATCGACCAACACCACCAATCGCTGCTGCACAAACATTAAAACAAATGGCTGCTCAGCATCAACAAAGAATCATGTATAATCAACAACAACAAATAACATCATCGTATGCAAATTATCCGTATAATAATAATAATAATACTTCAACAAGACAATATTATCAACAACCACAAATTTCATCAGAAAATGATACAAATATAAATCCTGTAAGTTGAGTCATCAATTCATTCCATTCACCAACATACACAGTCGTAGACAAGACTATCTACCATTCATGAAGTGCTACTATATTAAGTTTATATTTTGAGTACATGCGCACGACAATAAATCCTAATCACAAGCATCAGCATGTCCTCTATCGGTTTGCATGTACTGGAATTAAGATTCAGACATAATCGCTTTGTTGTGATAGTTGAGTTTCAATCATATTGTCACGAATATTTTGATCAAATTCTTCATTCAAAAGATCAACATGGTAGATATGTCTAAGTCTTAATTTCGTTAGAAAACACTTTGAAATAACTGAAATATTGTCTTCTCATTAAGAATGTTTGTAGAAAAACCAATGCTATGTTATCAGTAAGTTGAATCGTTTCCATTATGACTTTGATCAATTCATTTGAAAAAAGTTCCTATAAGACAATAAATCTGTTCTCAAAATTTTATAGCTGCAGCATTGCATGAAGTCTGTTTTAGGGCGTACTAATTACTTTTAGCACTAGATTAAAAAAAAACAGTAATAGCTTGTAAAATAGCAAAATGACAGGTCAATACTCTTTGTGTACATAATTCTGCGGAATATGTTTTTCATAAGAGAAAGAATATGTGTAAACTATACTTTCAGTACATGTGAACTATTGAAAGGTGAATTAGTGATTGCGATCAGAATTTATTTCGTACGCATGCACCTAAAATATTAGGTCAATATCATTAAAAACAACAGCTTTGAAATTTTAAGTTCTGTGTTTTTTTCACAATATTTGATAAATTGGATAAATGTTGAATCTTTGATAATCATAGAATTAATGAATAATTTGATTTTGTTTATTTGTTTTCAATTTACAAAAACAAAATTAAATTTGAAGAAATCATAAAAATTGAAATCTAAATTTTATATATATATTTTGAATTTTTATTAATTTAGACTTCATACTATCAACCAATGTGTTATTCGCCTGGACAACAGATAACTATGGCTGGTTATAATCATCATTCTCAGCAACATTCGAATATTTATGGTATTCAAAACTATTCTTATCAAACTTCATCATCATTTTATCAACCACCGCCCCAACAACAACAACAACAACAGCAACAACAAATATCTACATCTTCCTATTCAGTCGCTAATTATTCACCGTCAAACGGACTTCTATCAACTGCCACAGCTCTTCCATCGTCTACTTTCTATTCTCAAGAAGATAATCTTCCTATTATTGACCTGTAATATATATATACATATTCTATAAACAAAAAAAAACTATGTCAGATCTCTCTTTTGTCTGGTCATCGTTTATGAGCGAATCTCTCGAAAAACAAAGTTCAGATATTTTCCGTTTTTTCTTTTTGCATGCTTTGTTTTCGCTAATATATCTCTAATTCTCTCTTTTTTTTCTTGTTTTTGTACAAAACAGTGATAGTCATCATTCATATTTACACTATCTTACTGTGTGCAATAGAACAATATAAAAACAACAACCAACTGAACACAGGATATGTGGCATTTATAGAAAAATAAAAATATCTGAAAGTATCCAAAAAAAGAAAAGCAAATTTGCTAATCGAGTTTTATTCTCTTTCATTCGTTTTTTGCTTATTTATATTTAAATATAAATATTTTAGTATCATAAATGTATAAAAAAGGTGAAAATATTATTTATTAGTTTTAAATTAGACTTTAATATATTTATAAATCATGAGATCACAACATGATTCTGAACTTGAAATGGAATTAATTCCACGACAAATATCGATTGGAATTGATTCATCATCTATAGTATCATCAACACCAACGCCTTTACCATCAACAAAATCATCATTACATTTTATGAGTATGAATGAATTTACATCTTATTGATATATATATATATATTCATAATTTTTTTTAGAGAGCTCTGTTACTGTTTGGTTCATTCCATTAATATTTGCATTCGCAACTTTTTATATGTATATTTTATCTACAAATGCACCACCATTAGACAAAGAAAGTGATAGGTAAAACCATATTCGTACCGACTGATATTTTTATTTATTAGTGATTCATGTGAAAATTTTAAAAATTGACACATACAGAATTTTCATATTTCAGTAGTTTCTATCCGACATAAGACTACGAAGTTTTGACCCGAATTCGAAATATTCTGAACTTTTATTTTTGTTTCATGTTCTTAGCAATTGAAAATTTCAAATCAGTTGGATGTCAATAAATAGTATCAGATTACTGTTCTAATCAGGGCTCTCGATAGTTTTTAGAAGTGGCACGGACAAAGAAATTGACAGATAGTCGAAGGCACTCTTTCTGGCAGAAGATGACTGTGGAAAAGCGACATTCTCAAGTTTCGTAGACCCGATAGAAAAAGTGGGGAGAGGTAGCCCATCGCAGCGTTTCCTATATCGAGATCTATGGTTCTAATAAGATGTTTCGAATATATATATATACAGTAGTGGACAAAATTATAAGAACAGACAATTTTTTTAGTGTTTTCATTTCATTTGTCTTTACTTTTCATCTGCTCGAAATAGTTCATGTATCTATACATATGCATTCCGACATGCTCTATCCGAAACTGAACTCGAATTTCCTCGTTTCCAATATGAAGTTTGAGAACGTATATGTTTATTAAAAACGGTGCTTTTTGGTTGGACAAAATTATAAGAACAAAAAGGTATTTTCTCATTTTTTTGTATCAAAGAGACATCAGTTCGACTCGAAATCTATACAGATAGATAGAGGAGCTTATTCTGAACAGTTTCATAAAAAAAACTTTTCAAAGTGATTTATATTTAGTTTTAAAAATGCATTTGATTAGCCAAGCCAAAATAGCTGAAAATGCTTGNTTAAAGAACATCGTGTAGATCGTACTCATTCTTTTTCTAAACATTTACTCCCACTTACTCTAAAAGTAGATCCAGACATTCTCAATGACAAGAAGCATTCTTTCATCTCAAATAGAAAAGCTTTGATTATTTTCTTCTAGTTCATTGTTTCAAGTGTGCTTATTTGTGTGACTTTCATGAATTCAGTGTATGAACTGCTTTGCATATGTACATAACTGATGCATGCATTGTAAGTGCTTACCAATGGAAAGAAAAACCATGTAATATGGATACATCTTGCGGTCAGCACATGTCATGCGTATGAAAAAAAAGTTTCACTAGGGTTGCTATTTTACCAGACATTGTTTCTCATTTTTTTAAATAATTTGGCTTTGATTTATACAGCAGACGCATGTTCTCATTTTTTGTATTTTACTCAGTTAGATGAATAACTTTTGGGCTCACTTCTTAATTTTTGCTGAATATGTTGTTTTTTTAATAGTTAACCGACGTGTAGTTTTTCAGTTTTTATTCACGTTCGTAAAGTTCAAAACTCTTCGATACTTTAAACTTCATGTTGCTTTTTGACAAATGGATGATTGTTGGTATAAATAGAAAATAGAATTTGAATATTCGTTTATAGATTTTCTAAATGAATAATTATGTGGTCAAACATTTAAAGAAAAGAAAAACAATAACAAGATTATCAATAATCATGAATATGTCTATGCATTAATTTGTATTCTGTTCTTTCATTAAAAAGAAGAATTAAAAAAGAAATTCAACAAATTTTACACTATTACATTAATTCACCGGTATCGTAGAGCTATGTGATGTTTTCATCAGTGTTGGGTCAATATGGGGTGTTGATCGAGTTTTATATAGTAGAAAGTACATTAGATATTGTTCTTCAGGTTTGACGTAATGGAATGAAATTGTTTGATCACTACAACAATTGTAATTCTAATCAAAAAAGGTAAACGTATTAGTTTTATGAAATAACATAAATTTAAAGTATTAACTTACACCTTGTGGTGGATTCTCAGCATATGTTGCAAGCCAATCAGGAAAAGAACCCCGAAAATGATCAATAAATGGAAGTGGATGAAATAGTTCACGATTTTGTTTATCGACTGATTTACCTGGATAAACACCTTTTGTACGAAGACAATTAGCTATTTCAACATCTTCACTTCCACCATCTTTACGGCAATTTGATGTTGAATCGTTATGTGCTCCGTAAAATCGTCGTAATGATTCTCGACTTAACACATAAGCTGCTCCACCGGAATGGTATCCTTTTGGAACGTGCACCTTTAAGAGAAATTAATAAAAAAAAAGAAAAAAACTTTCATTATCGTTTCTGCGATGAACAAAAAGTATGAATATAGTTTCAATTAGTAACAAAATTGTTTTTGGTTTTGAAAGTTTTTTTCTTCGTTTGCCATATTCAGTTTATATATCGACGTAGTTTCGTAAGTATGTTAATGTGTGAAAATTAAAATCAACTCAGTTATTTTATCATTCCTTCACTAGTAATTTGTTTTGACTATCGACATATTAAAACTAGCAGATTGTCATACAGAGTGGTCCAGAAAAGAACTTACTGAAATAGATATAACTATGAAAAGATACTAGATAGCGATATTTTTATGTTTTGAAAACATCCTAGTGTAACTAGAGACAAATAATAAGTCCATCAAGTATGGAATCTGTACTGAAACGATGTATTCTTACCGAAAAGGAAACAAAAGATCTCTCCGTAAAATGTATCATTGATTTTAAATTTGCTGTAGTTATAGAGTAAATAGTACACTCACTATGGAAAATATTTCGATTTAAAAAGGATTGTTATTCAAACATTTTTTCATTTTCAGACAATTATTTTAGTTTAATACGAATTGCTTTTCCGTGCTCCTCCATTATACCGTATCTTCTTTCGGATTACGCAGCTAAAGTTTATCAATATTTTATACATATTGTTATAGCTATTGAAACATTTTATCTATGGCATATAATTGATTGTAATTAAAACTAATTCAAGTGAAACAAGAATCGAATTAGTACGATATATCGCTTTTGTAAAAATATACGTAATCCTGCAATTGTACGAATATTTTAATATTCTTAGCAAACTAGTAATAATTCTCAATAATTTATGTCTATTTAACTTGTGCACGTTTAGAAATATAGTCTGAGACTTTTAGATTATCATACTGTTTCGTTATCGAGTTATTGGATTTTTTTGAAAATGGATCAAAATATAGAGAAAATGATTTTGTTCTGAGATAGACTTCATATTTTTTTTGTTAAATTTTTTCTTCTAACTAACGGTAGAATCTTGTTACAAAGAAATACATTTTTATTTACTAGCTTTTTTGTCAGCTTTATATCTATAGCAAAAGGGATTTATTCAAAATGAGCTCAGAAGTTACATTTTCTAAGGAAGTAAGTTTGTTTTTGCATCATCCTGTAAATATGGATAGAATTTTTAATGAAACTGTTTATCTATTATGTACATCAAAGTAGCTACTGTTTAAAAACATAGTTCGTATAAAAAGCAATCGATAAATTGTATATAATAAAAACAAAGGTTTTCTTTCCTTACTCGGGTTGCATTGAAGACAAAGTAATAATTATCTACTATTAATCGATATCTTGAGTTGAAATTCAAACGTTATCAAATATATTTTTTTCCACGTTGACTGAAATTCTTTAGAGAGTAGGAGACACACAGAATAACTCTACTTATCCTATTCCATAGATATAACATCTTATTGTTCACTTCTTCAAATGATAGTATTCGAGATCAATAATCTATTCAAGAGTGATCACCTTAAAATTGTATCCAAATGTAACAGGTTCCGATGTATTTTGTTCACTTAAAAATGTTTTCAAATTTTCAACAATCACATATGTATCATCATCTGCTTTGACGAACCAATCAAAATCATTAAAATAATTTTCATATGCAAATAAAAAAGCTAATGTTGACTTTTGCGTTAGATGATCATAACCAGCTGTAATATTTTTAATTGGTGCAATTGGTATTTGTTCTGTGAAATTGCTTTGTTTTGATGTTACATTGTTTCCAAGAGATTCTGTTATAAAAAAGTACCGATCACATTGTGGTGCCCATGTTTCATAAACAGCTTTTGCTCGTGTAAGAATGTATTTTGGTGTTGTTAATATTAAACATAATACACGTACTGATGATGGATGACTTAGATTTTTACCACGAGAAAATTGAAAATTTTGCAACACAGTATAGTAATTATTTGTAGAAGAACCAACGTAAACGAAAGTTATTAATGTAAGACTAGTTAGTACAAGGCCAATCGAAATGGAACGTCTCTATATAATGTAAGATGACAGTTAATTAAAGTTGAAAGTAAACAGCTTGAATGATGTATAAAAAACAAAAAAACAAGACCGACAAGATAACCAGGATTTACTATTGATTACTGTAGAGAAAGTATATGTCCATGTACAAAGATAGTAGGTATAACAGATTTAATCTCAAATTTGGACTTCCATCAATAGAGTTGCAGAAAGATATCAATACTAATATTTCGATCCTAAAGGCTTTGACTAATGAGAAAACGACTTCAGGAGCCGCCTCATTCGGCATCGATTTCAATGATTTTGTTTACTTACCGATATTATATAGTGTGCATTAGTAAAGGTCTTTGCAAGATTTGGGTTCTGATCTCTTCCTTCACAAATTATGAATACTTTTATTTTGTCTCTATAGTTATTAACATACAATATTAAAAAATCCATCAGTTAATCAAAATGCAAATTAATAATCAGAAAATTGTTTTTCTGTCGTTTTTTATCTCTATTATTATCTCAGATATTTCGATGAAAGGAAAAACAACAATAACGTAAATTATCATACCTTTCAAAAGGAAAAACACTAGTGTGCAGTAAGTAGATTACTATCGAACAATAACTCCGCTCCGTAACAATATAAAAATCATGTTACTATAAACCAATATGCTCAACAATAGTGGATATGGATCGTTTTACGCGAAGCAGTGTTCTGTATGCTTTACCTTCAAAAAAACGGAATTCAATAGCTTGATAAAGAAAAAAACTAAAAGATTGAAATGTCTGTTAACATAATAGATATCAAACAGTACTAAAAAGACAATTTTCTGACTTTTAATTTGCATTTCG